TACCTTTCCGAAAGGCTTGGTTAATATTTCATATTGTTCTCACAATTGCATCTTCTATTTCATTCGGATGCTTTGTTCCAGACCAGTCTATAGCCAGACAAAATGTGTTCCGGAAACTCCCACACTTGCCTGAAAATTTCTACGAAATTCCAATTTTTGTATTCACTGAAAACGGATTTTATCATCTCGTCATGTTTCTTATTCTCGTCCCGTTTTGCTGTTTGGAAACCACTGTTTTTGTTAGCGGAATAGTTCGGACTACATCCAGACTGTTTAAAACTAGCAAAATGTCTAGAAAATCCTACAAACTGCAGAAGAGTTTTTTCATAGCGTTACTAATACAAACTACACTTCCTTTGATCACTTTGGTTATCCCATTTGTGTATTCTTGGATTTCAATTTTATGGAGATATTATAATTAAGGTCTTATGAATATTGCGGTTATCTTTACCACTATTCATGGATTGTCCTCTACTATTATGATGATTACGGTACATCAGCCATATCGGGAATTTTCGATGTCCATTTTTTGTTACGAGAGGGTTCTTGAAAAACGAGGATTGTCAAGGAAGAATGTCATAATTGTTGCATTGCACGGTATGTGACGGATTCTTGAAAGAGGTAAGACAGTTGAATGTTTAGGGCAGTTGTAAAATGGAATCATCCTATTCTGGGGTGTCAACTTCGAGCTCAATTATTTCGTTTCCTGTGAAAGATAACAAAGTTTAGTCAACTGATTTAAATAATAGTGATATTATGATAAATAATTTATCGGTTGACTAATTTCAAATATCTTTCCTAGAAATCAAGATAATTGAGCTCAAAGTTGACGTATTGGGTGGGTTTCTGTTAGAGGGAATACGGTATGACGGTTGGAAACCATTCTCACAAACGCATAGCTCAGCTAGTAGCGTTCTGGTACTTTGCATTTCCTGCTCACGAGTTCAATTCCTTATATTCGAAAATTAGAAAAACATATTTGGCTCTGTTCAAATTCAAAGATCCCATCCATGTTTAGAGGACCCAAAAACTGGACTAGGGTTAACATTTTCTTCCGATTTTCGCTTAAACAGGAAATAATGAGTGCTACGCCGCTACCAGCTCAGCTACGCGGTTGAAAACCGTGGGCTCAAATGGCAAATCCAACGTAAGATTACTTCCACGTACTTTTTGCTGCAATCCAAGATTAATATTTCCTCTGAGCTTATCGTTTTGAGAGTCATAGTGTTTTGGTTGTAGGAACTTTATGGGGGAATCCTTTGGTACACTCGTTTTCTGTGCTCAATCTTTTAAAGGACTATTTTTTGGGTCTGTTTTGGTATATCCTATAGCTTTATGGGCCCCCAAACTAGAACTGGAACACAATGCCAATTTTTTAAAATGATGTTCCAATCTGACCAATACACAAATTTTTAATTCGCCAGAAAAAACTAAAAGAAGGGGATAGAGGAAATTTCCAGGAGTTTCTTGTTGTTACGGTAGGCATTTTGACGTGACGGTATACAAAGATTGGTCACCGTATCTCAGCTGGTAGAGGTGCGGCACCTCCAACGTTTGTCCCACAAGTTCAGCTCTTTGAAATGGAACGAAATTTTTAGAAAAATATTTATTAGGTCCACCCACCTCTAAACCCCGATTATTTTACAGACGATACAAAGCCAGCCTTAAATGTCTTGCAATGCTTATCAAAACCCGTACAAACAAAACGCTATGACTCTGAAATAGATAATCTTGAAGTAAATATCAATCACGGATTACAACACAAAGTATGGGGAAGTAATCTTTCGTCGGATTTGGACATAAAACAACATTCAAAATAGCTTTTGTAATCTGAAACGCCTATTTTTTAGTTTCAGATCATTGATTTATCGTCATCTGTGTTTTTGACTCATTCCATACTTCCCGCTGGTGCATAATCTGTCAGACAGTTGGATAATGCACGGATCGCTACCAATCAGATTAGTTTCCGGTTGTTTTCCTGGTTAAAAAAGAACCAAAGCTGAAAATAACTTCGCGTCACTGCTGAATACTTCAAGCACATATAAATACGCCGAGAATGTAGTTCACTTCCTTATCAAACAATCTGAATGAAAATTTTTTTCTACTTTTTTATTTTTTGCTCTCTTGCTATGCATGTTAAATGCTACGATGTGAAGGACTATGCAATTATTCGAAACAATGCCCTGAAAAATAAAATCGCGCTGGAAAATATTCTGGGACCCCGTAATCCAAAAAAATGTAAACAGTGGTACATAAAGGTGTCAGTTGTAAGAAATGCGTTTGTTTGGTTTTTAATGTATGATTTTATTTTTAGAGCCATCGCATCGGAGGAAGCATTGTTCTGGGATGAGGTCAAACGCATAATTTCCAAAATTTTAAATTCTTGAAATACGGATATAATCCACTGACAAAAAGTTGTTTTAACAATGTTGGTCATACTTTTGTTTAAAAGATATTACAGACATAAGGTACAATAAAAATGATAATTTTCATGAAGTTTTGATCTCATAGAAGTATTCAAATTTAAATTAAATTACACTCATTCTGCTAGTGAAAGTGCAGCCCTGCTACTAGTGGAGCCAGACGGTCGCCGCCAGCTGGAAGCATACTGTAGAAGCCCACCCAACCGAAAGATATCAAAAAATTTTCAACTGATAAAATGTTGATGGTATTATGATAAATCATTTATCAGTTGAAAAATGTTGATGTCTCTTAAAGGAACCGAGATAATTGAGCTCAATGTAGCCGGTTGGATACTTTTGATCTCAAAAAACCCAAAAAAATTTTCCTCCCCACCTGTTGTCAATTTTCCCCAATGTCTTGGGACACTGACTACTTGAAAACGCTATAACCCAGAGTCCCCCGATTTTCCCCATAAAATCCCTCTGGATTATCCGTTTTAATCGGGTCATATTCATTCCCCTTCTTATCACACTCCGTTCACTAATCACAATCAATTGTTTCGTTCACTAACTTAAATATAATTTGAATAAGCGCCAATACGTGCCGCGACACGCGTCGCGCCGCTCGGCATTGGCGCCGACATGAGCGGCGCATTCCGCGCACGCTCACAGACGAATTGTTCGTATCAGGGAGACGGGTATCTCCCTTTTTTGACCGCTATGCGGTCCCTTTCTACTTTTATTATAGTTTCAGACTATTTCCTACGTTTGGCAGTGTTATGGTTTTGCTAGCAACAGTTTTTGAGGGCAGCAAGGTTTCCTCCGGTAGCTCCCAGGAGGTTTTAGTCCTACACCTTTACCTCTTTTCTGTATCGCTTTCTTTTACCCATTCCTATTGTCTTTGCTGTTTATTCGATCCTCTTCCCTTCAATAAATTGGGATTCGAATAGCTTGCGTACTGTTATGCACTTGCACCGCTTATCTTACACATTGGGGGGGGGGGGGGGGTTGGGGGGTCTTTTACAGGTAAACAAGTCTCTCTGGTCAGGACGTTGGATCGGTCTCGGCTGACCTCGGATCCGCTGTCAACACCACCTTTCTTTAATCGTATCAATTCCTTAGCGTTGCGTGCTTGTGTTTATGTTTCCTTCAATATATATTTCTTCCAAATGAACCTGAAAACCCTCATAGAGTTCTTTTTTTGGGTTCTATATTCTAATTTTCAACTCGCCAGAAACGATGAAAAAAGTCAAGTACTATTTATTAAATTTGCATGTTTGGACAGTTTTATTAGATTATTCGAGTAGTATAGCGACGATACCGATGATCCTTTTTCCGGAATTCGCTGGATATCCTCTTGGATTTGTTCGATTATTCGACGTAAAGTATTATGTGTTTTCAATAGTAGTTTCTTTAAATTTCATGGGTTGTGAGTGGGAGGGTATTAAGTGATGACGTCAAATGAAATTCCAGGTATGCTGGTGGCTATAACTGCAATTTTCGAAAATAAATTTCACACAATTTGCACTTTTTCAAAGCCCGTTATTTGGTCGAAATTTAGAAGGCCTTGGTTAATAAGTCATTTTCTATTCTTTTTTTTCCTTTGTACTTCATTCGGGTTTTTCCTACCGGACCAATAAAAATCTAGGGTCCAAATTCTTCAGAGATTACCTGCTCTGAAGTCTTCTTTTTCGTATTTTCTATCATCCGAACTTTATCAAATCTCCTAAAAACTAGCAAAATGTCTCGAAAAACGTATCAATTGCAAACGCAATTTTTCGTGACTCTAGTCATACAAATTACATTACCCTTGATCACATTGGTAATTCCATTTGTGTACTCTTGGATATCAATTCTTTGGAGGTATTATAATCAAGGTCTTATGAATACTGCGGTAATCTTTACCACTATTCATGGATTATCCTCGACGATTGCGATGGTTTTGGTGCATCGACCATATCGAGAAACGTTGATTTATTTTCTTTGTTTAGAGGATTTTCTGAATTCACAAAAACGACCATTGGTTAGGAGGAGTGTAGTGGTATTATCAGATGTGATTCAAATTTAAACACTCCTCGGTTAAAAAAAAGGTTGTCGTTGCTACGGCGTGGCACTTATAGCCCATTGCTCACAAGTTCAATTCATAAGCTCAAAACAATTCTCGAAACTTTGTTCTTGTAAGCCCCCCACGAGAAAATGAACTTGTCTTCCCAATGTTGGAGACGTCGCTGCTGAACTACGGTGACACCAACTTGGCGGCTGACCCAGAGATGTCTAGTAATACTGTCTGATTCGAGTTTGATTTTTTATTGCAAATGAAAAACCAAAGTTTTCTGACCACCTAATCCAGGTAGCACTAAAATTCAATTAATCACCAAACCTCCAGAAATTCAATTTCCAGCTGTCATAGTTTTTTTTTCCGGTCGGTAAAACATTTTGCATGACTTTTCTTTCATTATGTCTTCTCCATGTATCCCCGATATCGGTCCCTTTGATTCCCCGGAACTTCTAGCCAACACCCTCCACCTAATCACTATTATTTCCACCCCTGTCCACATTTTCGGCTTATATTGTGTTCTCTTCAAAACCCCAAGTCATATGAAATCCGTGAAGTTCCCCTTGGTCAATTTGCATATATGGATCGTTTTGTTTGATTATTATCTGGGCTGTCTTGGTGTCCCACTTTTGTTGTTCCCAGCTCTGGCAGGTATTCCAATGGGCCTACTACGATACCTCGAAGTTCCCGCTCTGTGGATAACAATGGGTATAGTGTTGATAATGTCCTGTTAGTTTATTTTTTAATTTGAAGCTTAAACATCTGAAAATTTTCAGATGTCGTGTGCTCTATAACTGCCGTGTTTGAAAACCGGTTCCACGTCGTTTGTAACTTTTCTGGAAAGTCACATTGGAACTTTTTACGACGACCATGGCTAGCATTTCACTATATAGGAGTAATTCTTGCTATCATAAGTTTTGCATATATGGTACCAGATCAGAAACCTGCAAAAGAACGGGTGTTTCAAGTTGGTGTATCTGAGAAAAATCCTTTTCCTTTGAAAAATGTGTTTCATTAATCCAGAAGCTTCCATGCCTATCAGATTACATTTATAAAGGCGAAGTTTTCGTTGTCACTGAAACCGGAGCCTATCACCTTTTCATGTTTGTATTCTACGTATTTCTTACAATTCTCGAAGTTTCGATTTTTGCATATTTCTTAATCTGGTACTCCACCCAACAACTTCGGACTAAATCTGTGTCCAGGCGGACTTTTACAATTCAAAAGAAGTTTTTCATAGCGTTGGTCATTCAAATGAGTGTCCCATTGGTTTTCATTTTGCTACCAGTGTTCTATGCTTGGGTTTCATTCTTTTGGTACTATTATAATCAATCTTTAACAAATTTCTGTGTAGTTCTAGCCTCTTTACATGGAATCATCTCGACTTTGGTCATGATTTTTGTTCATCATCCGTATCGAAAAGTTTTGTTAGAGCGGGCTTCAAAGATAAATTTAGTGCATTATGTTACTGAAAAATAAATTATGTAAATTTTTGAAAAAAACATGTTTTTGAGACAACGACCAAAGGACAAAGTTTCAGGTGTTTTTTGGGCTAATTTTTTTCGTAGAACCAAATTTTCTCTAGCTGGTCATTCCAGAAAGTTCTCTTTTGTGCCAGCATTCATGAATGTCGTGCAGCAATGGTGAGATCAAAAAATGGTAAGATCAAGAGATCAAAAATAGTTTGCTTGTACTGTTTTCAATGAAAGATCTTTAAAACTCATTTCGTTTGTAGTTTCCATCAGTTTTCGAGCTAACATTTTTATTCAAGAAGAAGAAGAAGATCGAAAATCAAAAATTGCTTGAGCTAATATCATGCTTTCGGCAGGTGTGGGAACATTTTTTTCATGGCTCAGTGGTTCAAAAATTATCAAGTCGTCCAGAAGAAGTCACAGAGTTTGGTAATATACGATTTCTGAATTCCCCATTGAAAACTACTGTGAAAAAACCATCGAACATTGTCACGGTGGTCCAAATAAGAAAACTTTCAATGAAGGATGCAATTTTTGATTCTTGGGCGTTTCGAAGGAGAATATCGCTGATGATATAGCCGGAGAGATAACAAAGGGTTTGGAGGAATGTCTAAAAACATAAATTGTATACCATAATTCGAAAAAAAATCCGAAAAAAAATTTCCAACACGTTTCTATGTACCTGCTTTAAAAAGTTCCATTCCTTCACTGTGGTTTTTTCGGGTCCATTTTTCCTCTTTCTCCGGAACCATTGAACTTTCGAAAGTGTCACGATATTGATAAAAAATCCTAAAAGAATCAAGCCTGTATTCTTAGCTGTGTCCAAATATTTGTAATAAAACACACAGGCTGGCTCGGCCAAGTTATTAAAAAATGACAAAGTGGTTGGCTCGTAATTCGGACAACAATAAACTGTAACAAGATTGAGATTGAGAATTTCTTTCCAAATATAACTTACAAACAAAATTAACGGTTACAATATAGGCGGATGTGATGGTTACCAGAACGACCACATAAAGTTTTGTGAGCCTTTCAGAGAAAATTTTTTGATAGGAAAACGGTAAAAAAACCGCTACAAATCGATTGATGGTAATTAGAGCATGTAAATTAAGTGATATTTCAAAAGTGATGCACAATAAGAATGCAGCGAGGTGAGAATTGAAAACGAGGAAGTCGGGAGTCCTGAAAATCAGGATTTCCGGTTTCAGGTAATTCTAAATGCCAAAACTCACAACACTGCCATAGGTGTTACGTAGAACAAATAAGTACCAACATATAAAACATCAGATATAGATTTCGCAAAAGTCACTATCAAAAAAGGCGCAGAATACTGACAATTTTGATGAGTAATTGCCCAGATAATGAAGATGTTTAGAATTGTACCAAAGAAATAGACAGGCACACCAACGAGTCCAAGAAGGAACATTCTTGTTTAATGACTAGAAAATATAACTTTCTCGAGAAGTTTCTGAATATTTCCGCTTGGATAGTAGTCAAAAATCGACATGTTTTCTCACGAGTTCTAACGTTTTTGGGTTATCTGCACCGTGACAACACTAGAAACTTTTTTCGTGGGAAAAATATTATAGTTGCAATTTGGGAACGAAAATAATTAAGAGTGCAATTTGACCAAAATTATCTTGCTTCCTGTTAGCGATATCGAGAAATGTTTAACTGACAAAAAGTTTTTGAGATTATGATGAACATTTTTTTCAGTCGACAACTTTTTGAAATGATCAAAATTATCTCAAACATGACAGTGAGGGGCTCTACTATTACAGGTTTTACGCTCTCTGTGTTTTCGATTTGGCATTAAATATTCCTTCGACTTTATTTCTCAGCTTTCCCGCAATCCGCCTAACTTCTCTTTATCTCTCAAACGATTCTGATTTGTTTTCACTATCATTTTCTCACGCTATCAACACGCTAATGATGTCAAGTGGTCTATAGTATTATCACTCAACGAATCAAATCGCCGAATTCCATGGAACAGTTTGTAGATAACATTTGACTAGAGAAAAGCTTGACCATAACACAAATACTATTGAGCGATCAGATTAGCCAATAAACATGGTATAAAAAAGGAAATCTAGTGATGTAGAAACAACATTCAAACCATTCAAAATGATGAGAATCTTCCTGATCGCAGTAATTGCAGTTCTTGGTGAATTTGGGCTTAATTCCATTTAAAAACGCAATATTTCAGCTATCTCCGCCCATGATCACCATCATGGAGGTGGAGGAAGTGACCATCATTCAAGTAGTGATAGTGGACATCACCATCACCATGGCGGAGGAGGTGGAGATCATCATCACCATCATCATCACCTCGTGTCTGATTACAGTAACTCCAATTCTGACTCCAGTAGCTCTGGAAGCTCAGGCGGAATTGGATTAGGACGACTCTTGTTTGGAGGACTATTCAGACGACGAAACTACTACCCAAGCTACTACGGCTATGGAAACTATAACCGAGGATACTGTAGAGGTAAAATAATATTCCAAAATCCTCATTTTCGTTTTTCATTTCAGTTGCTCAATTTGTCGACTACGTTGGACAGACACCCCGCTACTACTGTGACTGTCCACCATATCCTCCAAATTATCAATGGAACCAGTGTGTGCCAATGGCGAACTATGCATATGGAAAGAAATGATTTTATCTCATTCTGAAGACAAAGCAATTTGCATATTGCTCAGATTATTTGACATGACATAATTGTTTTTACAATTTACCTGAAAATACATTTATTTCGAGGATTGTCTTGCCCCGCCTAACAGTATTTAAAACTTCAAAACTCGATTATCTTTCAAACCAAATGTCATCTTATTTTCTAAATATCAGTTGACGCGCCTCCGGCGTTCCAAACATGTGGCTGGTGCGCCTTCCGCGCGATTTGATCTAGTTTTTTAACTATAATATTATTCAAATCTCGAAATTTCGTTAAAGTGCGCTCTAAGAAGTTGAACTTGGGAGCCCATAGTTAAAGGTCCCGCGCTGCTACCAACTGAGCTACCGTGGCCAACAACTCGGGTAAGGGTTCTAGGCTGAGCTATACAGTCATCGCCGGCGCTGGGCCGACCGATGGAGACTCAAAAAAACTATTTTTTACACCCCAAAGTCTACTTTCTATTATTTGCTCCGTTACCTAGATGTTCTAACAGTTCCTTACTTGTTTGCCATAACTAATGTTTTCTCAATGATGAAACCCGCCTCCCATAGGTCAACAAGCATTTTGTTTAAATGACGCCTAAAGGTTCAGAAAATTCAGAACTCTTCAAAAGCCATGCTCCTTCATCTTTCTTCTCTGTTAATATTTACAATTTCATTGGCCAACTGCCAAACCTGCAGTTTTTCCAAATCCGCTGTAAATGCTAGCTGGACAGTTGCTCAAAATGGAACTCTCCAAATTTCGTATCAAAATAATGGGATTTCTAATAACCAGTGGACAGCGATAGGATTTGGGCCGGATATGGTAAGTCTCTAAAAATGTTTGACAATTATAATCCTAAAAATGTTTCAGTACAACCAACAAGTCATAGTTCTGATGGTCCAAAACAATCAAGTCTCCATTCGCACTGGAAGCACTTCAGGTCACGCTCCGCCCACTTTCAGCAGTCAGAATAGCGCTAATTTGCAAAACGTGAATTATTCTGGGACCACTATAAATGCAACGACTTCCGTTCCATTGAATTTTAACGGTGTTAATTTGGGAGGGTGCCAAACTTGGAATGTAAGTTTTTTAAATGGAATAAGTTCATTTTGCCCCTCAAATGAAAATTTTTAGTTCGTTCAAACCGGACCACTCAGCAATGGACAAATGGAACCCCATACTTCACGGCCCAACCAAGTGAATAACGTTTGTGCTTCGCAATGTGTATGAATAAAGTTGTGTTACTGTTTTTTTGCAGTTTTGAATTGGCAAAAAAAGTTGAGCGAGAGCAAGATCTTGGAACAGTAAACATGATCAATGAGACAGTTTACCTACTTCCAAAAGTAATATTTACTTGCTCATTGGAACAAAATCTTGGTCACTTTGAACTACTAAATTTTTTGGAACTTCATAGGACGGCAGATTTAATTTTTTAGATAAGACTATTTCCAAGTGACAACCTTCCCTCGAATAGTAAGTTTCATTTTTAGGAATTTCAGACAAATGAGTCAACCCCCCGCTAACTTTCAATTACTCGAAGCGCTATGATTCTGACTGGAAATTGTCTGAAAGTCACATCACTTTTTCAAAAAATCAATTGTGACATTTTTCAGAAGATTTGAAGTTCAAGTATCAGCTCAAACTTTAAGAACATAAACATGTTATTTCAATTAAAATACTCAATTTTTTTCATTTTTTTACTTTATTGTGTGAAAGTCACATCACTTTTTTCAAATATTTATTTTGTGACATTTGCAACAAATTGAAAAGATCAGCTCAAACTTTGAGAGCCTAAACATGGCATTTCAATATTTAAACCAAAAAAAACAATTTCAGATCACTTTACATTTCAAGAAAACAACAGTTCAAACTTAGAGCCTAAACATGACAGTTCAATTACTATTGCTGTTCATTGATATTATTATTGAAACTCTCCGCCCGTACAAATACGCTTTCGGACAAACCATTTTCATCACCGACTTCCTGATTGTTTTGTTGAGTGTCAAATACACAATACACACGGAACCTAGAAAACTTGATTATAAATATAAGTCTTTAATCTTTGTTTTAGTCATACCGCTACTCGTTTGCCAAGCAATCTGACTGACTAAAATTAGATATGGCGGTGCGGCGATAAACTGCATATAAGCGTATAGGACAGAAGCGATGGTGTGGAAAATGCAGAAGAAGAAAGATTGGAGAAGGATCTGAAAAAAATCTGAAACGTTTTTAACACTCTCTTCTTGTTTTTTTAATTACCACAACTTTTCTAGTGTTTGAGTTGTTTGAAGTGCTACCATCTCCTGCTTTAAATCCAAGATACGAAAGGAATCCATAAAATGCCAGTGTACAAATCGCCATGAGAATGTTGTTATAGGTGTGGGGAAGGTTTACATAGAATTCTGGATTCTTCCCAACCATTGGGTCAAAGAACCATGACATATAAGTCGGTGTGAATATCACTGGTTTAGTCAGAAGTCCGGCACCAACTCCATACACAAAAAAAGCCCCTAGGAATATGTAAATTCTCGCACCATCGAAATATTTCTTAATATTCATTTGCATACTCAAGTCACAAATTCGAATGACAGCCAAAGCCATACTAGCGATACAGCAACCCATCCAAGAGCCCAATGCGACACCACCAAGGCATGCTATGATCCTGGGATAGTCACAAAATGGAATACCATAAAAGCCAAGAATCCCTGTGGAAATTGAATGAATGAAAATTGAGGAAATGTCGTAGATGGCTAAAACGAGCATGGTTTTGTAGGCAGGAGTTTTGAGCAGTGGGCTGAACACGATAGCGAAGAAACATGGGATGTAGAGGAGCTAAAAAAATTCGATTAGTCTTAAACGTTTGGTCTCATATATCAATTATGGGATAGTGGCCAGTTATTGATTAGATTTTGCTCTCTCTACATGTATGAAAAATATTTTGGTCGGGGAAAACTTTTGATCGCTTTCACTTTCTCTATTTTTAGGTGTTAAATGCAAGGTGAAGAATCAAAAAAGGATTAATCGAGTTCCAAGAGTACGGTAAACCTAAGGCTAATCGAGGCCAGCCGCAGTCGGCCGTGACTCAGACCGTGAGTAAATTGCCGTAGACCCATCAAACCATTCTCTCAAAAATTGAAAATAACCACTAGGGCCGCTAGGTCACCGTATTCTAATTTCAAAAGTATCCTAGTCAAATTGTTGCGACCGGCCGTGGCACAGGTTTGCCGTTACTCATTTAAAGATGAGTCTTATACGTTCCCTCGAGCTTAATTATCTCGGTTCCTACAGAAGATATTGAACATTTTTCAATTGTTAAAATGTTTTTCATAAAATTTCCAACATTTGTTTAGTTGACGGCTTTTTGTTACCTTTTCTAGGAACAGAGATAACTGAGCTCAAAATTCAAATTCAAAATTCAAACTTCAAATTATATTGAAGCATCTACAGTAATCCTATCGAATGTGTGCTTCGCGTTAACCATATCACTAACCCAGTAACTCACCAACATGACAACACCGGAAGTGAAAAACCATATTCCCCAATAAGGTCTTCTAACACTTGGTGGTCGTTCGCTGACGTTTGCAGGACATCCATAATAATTGGGATCCAATTCAAAACCATTGAGAATCATATTGGTTAAGGTTAAATTGAAATCGGGAATAATTTTATCCATTTTTGAAAGCAACTAGTTTACATAGGACTAGACTAACACTTTCAGAATGTGTTAGCCAGTTAGGAGAAAATGGGCGGAGCTTGAATGTGTGGTTTGTGTGTCTCTGATTGAGAAAGATTAAATTCGCGGCAAACAATTTACTACCGCAAAATAAAAATCCCTGGCTTCATATTTTAATTTTAACAAGATAACCCATCAAAAGAGCGTGGTGCATTCTGAAGTGTCTTCTGGAACAACGCATATTGGTCAGCAGCGCACGTTTCGTTGCCGTTTTCGAGTTCCCAATCGTTCTCATCTCTGATGTTACCAGCGTTCCAAACGCTTGTAACGATTCTCTGAAGAAAAAAAAATGAGCGGGTTTTTCGAAAAACTCGATTTACCTCCAAATTTGCCATTTTTATTGACTTCACTTCTTTTTGTATCTTAACCACTGGTACCAATAACTTGTAGTCTAGAAGTGGGCTGTTTGCCTTTGTCCCCTTACCACCAAACTGGGCAATGTGAGTCAAATTTCCCAAGCACGAAAGATCAACGAGGGTTGAATTTCGGACCAATAGACTTCCATAGATAATTTTCAACGAGTTTACAATTTTGGTATCGAAATCTGGTCCTATCTGAAAACATATTTGAAAGAGGGGAGGCAGGAGATTTTTTGGAGAGTTACGGTATGCATTTATGACGGCGTACCGGCTATCGCAGCGCTTTCATATATAACACCAGTTGGCTTGTGCCAGCTCAGCTGGTAGCGGCACGACACCTTTAACGGTAGGCTCACAAGCGTTGCTGAGCTACGCGGTCGCAATGACCACCAGTGTAAAAGGATGTGGTATTTGAGCCTCAACTGTTTTCCTGTTTCCCTATCAATTATTCAATTACCTCAAGATTCCCAATCAGTTCTTCACAACCGACTTCAGGCGTTGTGCAAGTTTTCATATTGTCACCAGTTGGTTGGCAAATTTCAGAATTCACATAAAACTTCTCAATCCTATTGTTCATCACAAACACCTTCATTTCTTCTGTGGTCATACAAAAGTCATCGTTATTGGTCGACATACTTATAACTGGTTCGTACGGGGGCGTTTGGCAATCGACCGTCTGAAAAATACGTGCGTATTTCAGAAGGAAGAATAGCTCCCACCTGAAGCTTGGGCAGATTCAAAACCATCATTTCCTTGTTTCCAGAAACTTCAAATTTATGAGTTAGGACGGTTGTCAAATTAACCATTCCTAATTCTGTCATGATTTCATTGCTGTGAATCTCCACTGGCGATGTACCTGAAATTGTTGATGATGACGTAGTTTTGTTTGTAGATTCTAAGTCTTTACTAATAGCTTCAATGCGCCTCAAATTTTTTAGAAATTTGACATTCTTGAACCACGTGTCCACAATTTTCAATCCTCCAACTAAAACTTCCAAGTTTTCAAACGCTTCAGCCAAATCTTCGTACTTCAAAATCGGCAACCCTTCGATTTTCAAAAATGAACAAACTTTTGTGCATTTTGGAAATGAGCCAATATTCCTTTGTGTTAGTTCTCCTGGCTCAAATATACATTCAGGGTCTTGAAATTGTGGTTTCATTGGGATATTTACTATATTCAAAGCTAGCTCACCACAATCCTGGAATATTGAGCAACCAGATTTTAATACTAGGAATGAAAACAGTAAAAGTGTAAAAATCATAATTGATTACCAAAAAATTGTTCTCTACACATGTGAGTGGAGGTCGCCAGTGAGAGGTGGAACCAGGGGGATTGAAAAAATCGCAAATCTGAATGAGGCATGAGAACAGATCTTTTGAAAAATGATACTTTTGAAAATATTTATTTTCAATCAGTACCAGACCGGAGAGTGCAAAAAATTCCGATGATGGCTATTGTGTCTGATATGACCTTGGCAGGCCGTGCAGCTACCGTAGCTCGGCTGGTAGCGGCCCGCCACCTCCAACGGCGAATCTTTCTTGAAAAATCGGCCCACCACATGGCGCTAAAGCTTATTCCGTATAATCGAGGCTTTTGAGCCGACATTATGGAGGGAAAAAGGATTTATACAGAGCTTATTCTAGTAATAAGAGAATGTTTCCAGTCACTCTGCCAATTATTTCCGATGTTTTATTTATTATAAGATTCATCCAGGACGGGACCAATGATCTCGTTCAGCGACAAACAAGATTAGGGGAGATTTGGAAAAGATTGATGACATTCTTTAAAAACAATGCTTTGCAAATAAAATTTCGAATTTCTGACGATCATCCATGTTCAGAAAAATTGGGATTTACACGGAATTTTGAGGAATTAGAATTCAGGGGAACAATGAACAAAAAATCAGAAAATTGGAATTGGTCCTTTGGTTCGGTTTGGAAATTCTGAAGTTTTCCAATTCCGCTCGAAAATTAAAACTTGAAATTCAGAACTTGTAATTCTTCACCGCCGACCTCGAACAATGTTTCGATCCTGCTTATGTTTTTTTTTGTGTTTTGAAACGGCTTCTATTTCCGCCCGTGCTTTCGCAAATCATTTTCACCTGTATGGTTTTGAATGGACTTCATCACACAATTTCAACAGACCGTATGATACAATTAAAACTCAGATATTCTTGTTGTAACAATAAGAAAAAAATGTCTAGTTTATCAACAGTCAAGGTAGAGACAAAGATATTGGCTTCGTAAATCCACATAGGACAAAGATATTGGCTTCGTAAATGTATTGAGGTAAGCATAGTTTCTAGAAAAAAAACCTGATTTAGTTCCATTTCATTCTGACAAACAGTACCGCGAAAACAATTCTTATTTTCCTGATCAGGTGCCAAGAAACCAAATGACAGTGCTAAACAACCATGAACAACGTGATAAAGGAGAATCCCGACTCTACGCCAACGTTTCCAGTAAGGCTTCCAGGCGAATTTGCATACTGTATAAAAACGGCTTTCAAAAATTGTAACAATTGAGGCGACCATATCTGTTGACAGTGGATCCGAGGTCAGTCGAGACCGATCCAACGTCCTAACCAGAGAGACTTGTTTACCTGTAAAAGACCCCAAAACCCCCCAATGTGTAAGATAAGCGGTGCAAGTGCATAACAGTACACAAGCTATTCAAATCCCAATTTATTGAAGGGAAGAGGATTGAATAAACGGCAAAGACAATAGGAATGGGTTAAAGAAAGCGATACAGAAAAGAGGTAAAGGTGTAGGACTAAAACCTCCTGGGAGCTACCGGAGGAAACCTTGCTGCCCTCAAAAACTGTTGCTAGCAAAACCATAACACTGCCAAACGTAGGAAATAGTCTGAAACTATAATAAAAGTAGAAAGGGACCGCATAGCGGTCAGAAAAGGGGAGATACCCGTCTCCCTGATACGAACAATTCGTCTGTGAGCGTGCGCGGAATGCGCCGCTCATCTCGGCGCCAATGCCGAGCGGCGCGACGCGTGTCGCGGCACGTGTTTGCGCTTATTCAAATTATATTTAAGTTAGTGAACGAAACAATTGATTGTGATTGGTGAACGGAGTGTGATAAGAAGGGGAATGAATATGACCCGATTAAAACGGATAATCCAGAGGGATTTTATGGGGGAAAATCGGGAGACTCTGGGTTATAGCGTTTTCAAGTTGTCAGTGTCCCAAGATAATGGGGAAAATTGACAACATTGGGGGGCCGGGCCCCAGACGAAGAGACTACTGTAGCATGGACATAGTTGATGTAAGGTGCTTTCGCTTTCCTTGGTAGGTACTCTCTTGTCCTTGTATCAGGTACATTATTTTTACCGTAGTCCATAATCTGCTTTGCTGTTGCATTTGGGTCTCTGTATTCTCCGTCTGCTGGCTCCGTGTCCAGATGCTGGGTGTCATAATTGATTTCCTCTTCGGGATCACGTTCTCCGATAGTTGGGAGGTTACCAGCACTTGGCACAAAGTTTTGCTTGGAATCTTTGAATCGCTTTGGAGCGTACTCAGCTTGTGGAATATCGAAGGTTGCAGGTAGTGGTGGATTCGGGATAGACTTGTATCCGGGATCCTCATCTGTATTCTCATTGTCTGGAGTACATTCTTGGGATTCCACTGATTCGATTTCCAACGGGATGAGATGACAAACGGATCTTTCGTAAAGTTTTCCTTTGCATTTCACTACTGCGGTTCTGATTCCTACTTTCGAGTGAAAGATCTTTGTGATGATTCCCAATGGCCACTTGTGGCATCTGACTAGATTTGTATTGATCAAAACAACTTGTCCCACTTTTGGCTTCAGAGTCGAGCATTTTTTGTTTTTGTGTTTCGATTCTCTTAGATGCAGGAGGTACCCTAGCGCCCAACTTTCCCAGAGTTTTTCTTCGACTGCATCTATTTTTTGTAGATGCTCCCTTGTTCTGTTTTCCGTTGTAGATCGTTTAGGATCAAAGGGAATCTCGTTGGTGGGTAGTTCAAGGAGAACTCCTGGGAGTTGGAAATCGATGGGCCTGAGAGCTACCATATCATCTGTGTTTCTCATATGTGGGGTTAGTGGACGGCTGTTGATCATGGTTTCTGTACCAGCTAGGACACATCGGAGCGAGTGGAAGTCGAGGAGAGTCTTTCCGAGCTCTTTCTGGAGCTGATGCTTGACAAGTCCGACAATCCGTTCGTACACTCCGCCCTGCCACGGGGACAGGGGGGTGATGTCGATGAAGTCAATCTCGCGGTCAGCCAAGAAACTCGTTAGGGATTCTGACGGCTCGTGAGTACGGATGTCTTCGTTGATGAGCTTTTCGCCGAGACGGAAAGTCGCGGCATTATCCGAGTAGATCACTTTTGGAGTACCGGATCTGGAAAAAACGATTCTCAATGCTTCCATGTATCTTTCAGTGGTTCCATCTGGAACGAGTTCGAGTCGAGCTCCTCGTGTAACCAAGCATGTATAGACTAGTACATAGCAGCTTCCGATTGATCCATCTTCTTTGATATACTGGATTGGACCTAGATAGTCTAATCCGGCTTTTTCGAATGGAAATGATGGCTCTGTTCGTAGGGCTGGGAGTATCTGACAGTTGGGGTAAGCGTAAGGCTTTCCAGTGACTTTTTTGCGTTTCGTACATTCGGAGATGACTTTGTTGATAATGGATTTTGGGTTACAGATGTAGTACCTCGTACGTAATGCACTGAACAGGTATCCCGCTGGGAGGTGTCCGTTGATTTCGTGGGCTTCCCTTACGAGCATGAATGCAATTTTGTGATCTTTGTGAATCATGATTGGGGTGTGTGTCTCTGCTGGGAGTACACTTGATTTCACATGTGATTTGAATCGGATTAAGCCGTCTTCGTCCTTGAAGGTACGTATGTCAGATGGGAATGAGAGACCTTGTTCGTCGGCTTCAATGTAGTGCTGTTGGATGGTGAATGTTCTTGCCATCTTTCTCCTCAGAGTCGGCTGATCTTCTGACTCGTTTGTGAATTTTTTCATCACGAACGATTCCCATTGATGGTTTGGGAAGGCTTTGCAGACTGCTAGAAGAGTTTTGTGAACAATTGTGACAAGTTTTCTCATGCTATTGGTTCTATAGAACGGAACGATGGAGGTTAGTTTTTCTTCTGTATTTACCAACATGATCGTTTCAGCTTTGGGCGGATCCGGTTTCGGGATTCGTGATCTTTTTCTCTTTTGAGTAACCGGATCGACAATCTCTTGAAATACTAGATCGTGGAATTCTTTCACATTAGTGATTGATCCTTCGATCTTGTTTGGCCATTCTTCTCTTCCGTCTAATAGGAACTTGGGACCATGTGGCCATTGCTGATTTTCATTGTATTCGGTAGTGGTGAGTCCGCGAGTAGCGGCGTCGGCTGGGTTGAACTCAGTCGGACAGTGTAGTAAAGCTACTTCGGTTCCTGTCTTCTCGATCCAAGATTTATTGATATGATAATCGTTTACCCTGTTGGATACATATGGGCGAGTTGTATGTTCTTTTAGGATCCAGAAGAATGAGATCGAACTGTCTGTCAAGAAACAGATTTCCACTACTGGTATTGGGATTTCTTTCTTTGCAGCAATAGCTAGGTTGGTTCCCATGATGATAGCTGTGAGCTCCATTTTTGGGATGGTTAAGTTTTCATTGTTAGCTGGTTTGATCTTGTTCTTGCTGCATAGGAGACTGACTACTGGAGGTCCGGATTCATAAGTGTAGTGAGTATACACACAGGCAGCCATCATGTCCAGAGAGGCGTCTGAGAAGACCATCAGTCTGAGTTTGGAGTTACCGTAGTTTGTGGTGACTTGTCTTGGTACTGTGATGGCTGAATGACGGATTCCTTCCTGGATTTTTCTGTATATTCTGAGCAGTTTTTCTGTCAGTGGATCGTTCCAGTTCAGGTTGTCAGTCCAGCATAGTTGCATTAGACGTTTCAGAGCTACAAGAATTGGAGTGGTTATACCCGTTGGATCAAACGTTTCAGCTAGTCTGGAGGCTACTTGTCTTTTGGTGGGGTGATGCTCTTCTAGAGACGCAATCTTGATTGTCCAAAGATCGAAGAGTTGTCAAATCCCATGAATATCCCAAGATCTTGATGGTTGTGTCTTCGGCTCTATCCTTCTCGGGAATTCTCTTCATCTCCTCAGCATCGTTCACGGCGAACTCTCTTAGGTTCATTGACATGTCTTCGAAGATTTTCTTCGATGCTTTGACAAAATATCTGATTTTTCGTTGGAATATCTGATTTTTCGTTTGTGTAGTACAATGCATTGTCAACATAGATATTCTCCTTTGTCATTTCATTCAGTACATGTGGATTAGTTGGAGGAAGAGTAGAATGGTAGCATTGAGAAGGAATGGGCTCGATGCTAGACCAAATGGGATTTTCTTGAAATGTAGAATCTGGATGTTGTCTGGAGTTACCGGTTTCGTGATATCTTTAAGCCATAGAAAGCGAGTTACATCTCTGAATTCTTCTTTCATTTGTACTTGGTGGAAGGCTTTTTCGATATCAGCGAGAATGATATAGAGGAACAATCTCGCACGTAGCAGGATTCCGAAGATCGATTGGAGAATGCAAGGTCCGGGAAAAACGCAATCATTCAGTGATAGCTCGTATCTTTTGTGGCTAGAAGCGTCGTATACGATGCGGACTTTCGTTGTTGCCGATGACATTTTGATCACGGCTCGGTGAGGGATGTAGTAGACTACATATCCTTTTTTCTTTGCGTTCTGTTCCATATCTTTTGTGACAACATCGACGATTCCTTTTGACAGCTGTTCTTTGATAATATCGTCATACGTCGATAACAAGTTATTGCCCTTTTTGAGAGTTACAATCAGACTTCCAAGTCTCTTGATGGCAATTTCAAGGTTTGGTGCCAACCTTTTTTCATTCCCGTTAAATGGCAGAGCCACTTCGAGGATTCCTTCTTTGTTGAATTTGGCATTAGCTTTGAACTCTTCCAATAAGTCTCGTGACTCTTTGAGAGTTACCGGATCCATTTCGGGAGCCCGAATGCCGATATTCTCCAGTCGCCACATTTGAGCTACCTCTTTTATCAATTTTGTCAATGGATCTTCTGGATCCGTAGTGTCAAGGATCGTCATCACTATACTTTGTGAATCCGATGGTTTTAGAGCTACATCATCAATAGTATTGGTTGTGATGAGCTGTCCCAGGTTGGGAGTTGGATAGAATATTAGTCCGAAGGGGGTGATCTCAAGAAGTCTACCGGATGGTAGTATGGCTCTTCTTGTTGTTTTTTGTGACTGAATCCATGAGATGATATCATTCCCCATGATCATGTCAATATTCTTATCTGATCTGAGGCTGTTATCCTTCTGATCTTCGAAGCTAATATTTTTATTTTTCAGGTATTGGACATCTTCTTTTGACAGGGTAGGAAATTGGAATTTGGTAGGTGGTAGTTGGGGAGATCCCGCTACTTTGAAGCTGAACGTTTTGTTCCGGGTAGTACTGATTGGTAACTTGTAGACGTTTGACGGAATGGTTACTGTAGATCCAAAGACAGCTACGTTTAGTGTTGTAGATCCCAATAGTTCCAACTGAATTTTTTCGGCTGCTCGATGATCGATGAGAGATAGTGATGCTCCGGAGTCTACGAGGGCTCGGAGGCTTTCTCCGTTTGGAGTGTATAAGCAAATGAAAGGAAGTTTGTAATCATCGTCATATTCAGCTGTAGCCGAGTGGTTAATGTGATGCTTGTCTTCAGATAGGAATTTTAGGAACGTTTTGGTATCGACGGCTTTTTCTCTATAGTTAACCTTGGAAGGACGAGCAGAGGGCTCGGAATTATCAGAGTAGGGAGATACCGATTGATTATTATTAGTAGAACAACGAGAGTTTTGGTTAGAATAACAAGGGTGATTTAGAGATAATGTTGTGGGTACTGTAAGGGGTGGCACGTGGAGCGATGTTGTTGATCCCGCGCTTTCCTTCCAAGAGAGTTTATTGGTTGTTTTGTTGTTGGGCACGAAAAAACTGTTTCTTCGTGTTGTTCTCTTGGGTGACAATCGGACCAGCGAGTTGCGTGTAGTTCTGGATTTGTCGGTAGAACTCCTTTCTTGGACAAGCGTCCATGAAGTGGAATCCTCTACAGTAGCCGCACATGAAGGTGCTGATGCATTGATCAATGGAATGATCTTTGGAGTTACAGAGTTGGCACAGTCCGCGTTTCAACGCTCTCTCTCTGAACTCGGGGCTCGTCAATGGGCATCTGATGGCGTTGTGAAGACCGTCGCACGTGTTACAGGTGCTTCTGATTTCTGGAGCTGGGAACGGGAACGTATCTGATGATAGACAAGATGATAGACAAGGAGTATCTGATGATAGACAAGTTTGGTCCATCAAATCCTGGGGCGTGAATTCCTGGTAGGATACGTCCGGATTCGTCCCTGTATTGATTCGCGTGCTGACTGGCAACGTACTGTGGGGTTCTAGTGCTCTTATTATCTCTTGTGTTGTTCTGACTGTTGTCCTTTCTGTATTGTTGGAACTTTGGGTTCTTTGGTCTCTCCTGGATGTTATGACTCTGGTAATTCTGTTGTTGATGGTTGCTGCTGTTGTATCTTGGTGGATACGGACTCTGATGATTCGTTAGAAAGACTGCTCCGTGAACTGCTGGGATCTCGTTGATTCCAGTGTTTGGTCTTGAGCAGATGAACGTATTCTTCTTCTTGAGCGTTTTGATAGCGTCTACCACTGCATCGTGGACCATTTCGAATGTGAGTGAGCTTGAGTCTTTTTTCATCACTGGCATGATTCTGTCGATTATGGACTCTGGAAGTTTTTGGCAAAACGGTGTGATGGTCCTTTCATCGTTGACGTTGAGGTTTTGTTCCTCGAGTAGGTTCACAAGTGTTCTGTGAGCTTGCAAATCGAGAATCATGCGTTTGCAGTCGGTCTGATGAAATGGGAGGTTGACGAGCCTCTCGTGAAGAGCCATACGGTCTTCAGTCTCTCCATAGACTTGCTCGAGTTCGAAAAGGGTAAGATTGATGGCTTTTCTGGTGTTGTCCAATCTTTGCATGCACTTTGCAGCTGGTCCGCTGATATGTTTCTCAAGTTGGATGTATTTTTCATCATCGGATAGTGTGGGATTTTTGATGAATAACGAGTAATACTTGACGAAACTAAGGTTTCGAATTCGGACGGCAAGAGAAATCGGGTAACTGGGGAGGTGATGGCATTCCATAGCGGAACGGTTGTAAAGAAAAAGTCAGAAGAGCAGGGATGTAAAACAACTAAATTCATAGGGCGACGAGGGGAGGAAGAATATTTGACATGTGCACTTAGGTTGGGAAAGTAGGCGGCGCCATTTAAAAATTCTAGGGTACAAGAAATTTCTGGGGTACAAAAATTCTGGGGTACAATTTCGAATTCACCTGCTCTAAAAAGGATATTAAAAATTAAAAAAATCAAGTTGCAATAACTCCAACAGAAACGGCGTGATTAAACCGGGCAAATCTTCTAGTAGAATTCTCGTTGGATCTCGTTGACGCCTTCTTCGAGAAGAAACTAAATAATGCTTCTCGATAAGGGCGATGCACTAATGTCATGACCATCGAAGACAGAAACCCATGTATGGAAAATAAACATACTGTGAAATGGTTAAGCGACTGATCGTAATAGTCCACCAAAATTGAAATCCATAAATAAATACCAGGTAGTGCGAACGTGCAAACAGGAATTAATATTTGAATTCCTAAAGATATGAGAAATGATTTCTGAAGTTGAAAAGTCTTTTGGGACATGGTTCGGCTTTTTAGTTGAACTACTGCATTCCACATCAGAAGAATTGAGAATGAGAAAACCATGACAAAGGCAGAAATGAGAATCGCCACCAACGAGAACAAATGGTAAGTATAGTCTTCACATAGGACGTAGATATTGGCTTCATAAATGTATTGAGGTAGGCGTGGGAGTTTCTGGAAATAATCTGATTCAGTTTCATTTCATTGTGACAAATAGTACCGCGAAAACACTTCTTATTGCTGTTTCCTGATCAGGTGCCAAGAAAACGAATGGTATTACTAAACAACTATAAACAACGTGGTAAATGGTGATCCCGACTTTGCGCCAACGTTTCCAGTAAGGCTTCCAAGCAAATTGGCAAACTGTATAAAAACGGCTTTCAAAAATTGTAACAATTGAGACGACCATATCTAAAATTATATTTGTAGCCAGTAATTAAAAAAATAAAAGCATCTTTTCAATTAACGTTATATAATTTCACTATTCATTATTCCTCACTTGCAAAAAAAAAGAAAATCATTGTAATCTGGAACCAATACGGTACATGAAACCAACTGAACACCCCCAGAGTATAAACAGCGAAATGAGGTAATAGCAAAAATGGAATGGTTAGAGTACTTAACGAATAATCAAACAAAACAACCCAGATATGCAAATTCAGCAGATACAGTTTCGCAGATTTCATAGCTATCGGAGTTTTCCATATAATACAGTAGAATCCGAATAGATGAATCGGTGTGGAGATAATTGTATTGATGTGGAGAACCAATGATAAAAATTCCGGAGAGTCAAAGTATCCGGCATGAGAGATGCGTGTAGAATTCATGAGTCTTATTGATTTGAGCACATTGACTAGCTTTATTTCACACAATGACTAGCTTTATTTCACCTGTCTAATTTTTGGTTTTTTTTGCCTTAAGATGGATCTTGATGTTAACANAGAAACATTGTTAAGTCTCTTCTCCAATAAAATGTCAGCAAGATCCGAAGAAAATTCTGTCAGAAGATTTGCCCGTTGTAAAGCGCCTTTTCTGTTGGAGTTATTGCAAGTTGATTTTTGATAAATTCTATATTATATTTTTTTGTCCTCTTTAGAACAGGTGGATTTGAAATTCTGTTGACACTGAATCTCTAGGTGGGAGTGAGATGCTACGGAAGAATGAGCATCAAACTGATTATTTTCAAACAGATACCGACTTGTTGCT